TCCCAGAATTAATGCTTATTTATTAATACAAATTGCTAAGCAAAGCGTGCAATTTGTGGACCTCCACCTTATGTAACCTCTTTCATTTTCTAGTGACTTCAAGGGACTATGGGGAACATAATAAATTGTCTGTATATTTTGTAGACTAGCGCTGTAAGCTTCCTAAATTAGAGGCAAATAAAGCTATGAAGTTGCATCAATAAATCAATAATGCCATTCTATGCACTGTCTGAAGTACGAACGTCGTGTTTATTTTATTTGCGAAATAATTGGTTATTTTGGCTTATAAGAATAAAATGTAATGATAAAAAGTAGAGATAAAGCTATCCCTGTAACAGGCCATGAAGGTCCATATGGTTGTCAAACGTCGAGGCTCCAACATTTTCTAGAAAATCGGCTCACAGATGGCAATGAAGTTGTCAGCCGCGCTTTACTCCAAGGAGATTCCTGGTAATCATCACTGTTAAAGTCTCAGTCGACCCCAGCACCACAGTGCGGCTGGAAGGATTAGGTAAACTGAAGAAATCCAATAACCTCATCGGGAATCGAACCCATGACCTTCCGGCTTGTAGTATAGTGCCTCAACCAACTACGCTACCGCGTGCCCTAACACGCTATTGGTACGGCATTTAAAGTTATAGCATATGCAGAAATCTTTTTAAAAACAGAATGTTAAGGCACATTATATCTATATTGTTCGACGAAATAATTTAATAAAATATGTAATGCTACACAGAAATTTAACTTCTTACAAAATGTGAAAACCTATGGGATTGAACCCGGGCCGCCACTGTGGGAAGCCGGCGACTAACAGCTTGAGCTATGGCAAGGCCCAAAACTGAGTTCAAATCCAGATTGGAGCATTGACACATTCTTGTGGTTTCTTCATAGATCTCTGTTGTGTTGTGTACACAGGGGCCTTGCGACGGGCTGATACCCCTCTAAGGGCATCTGCAAGGTGTCTATAAACAATATTTCGAAAAGCGGAAAGTTTTGGACAGGACTTGTTTCTTGTATCGGACAAGAAGGGGGCAACAAGCAAACTTCAGCCTCTTATGGTTACGACCTTACAGACTGTGACGCCTTGCAGACTGATAAATAAGTACAAAGGTTCGAAGGAACCTGACTTTCTCCTCTAAGTACTGGAAGTCCTGGAAGCAGGTACATGTGAAACCTTCATAACCATCTACGAGGTTACGCAACATCACAATTCAGAAGGCTTACAGAGAGATCCTGAAATCTCATCTTCCATTTGTGATATAAGCCACTTCTCTTATGTCCAGATACACGTATAATTAACGCACACTAACTTCTTGGAGCTGAGTTCTTCTTGAGAAGCCACCGATTTTGCAGTTAATCAAGAACTTCTCAACATGTAATTGAGCCCGCAAGTTAATTACCATATTTACAAAAGCCCTCCGCTAGTCCCTATCCTGGGCCAGAATGATCCAGCCGACACCACCAAATCCAATATAATATCCATTTTAATATTATACAACCACGTACGTCTCGTCCTTCTTACTTATTTATTTATTTCCTTCTGATTTCCCACCATTATCCTACATGCATTCCTCTTCTCTCTCCCATTCGTGCTACATGCCCTGCCCATCTTATCCATCTTGACTTTATCATTCTAATTATACTTGGCGAAGAGTACAAGTTATGAAGCTCCTCATCATGCAGTTTTCTCCCAACTCCCATAACTTCATCTCTCTTCGGTCCAAATATTTTCACCACTAACGCACATATGCCTCTGCACTAACTTTTCCCTTCTTCAATCTAATTGTTCAAACATTCGTTAACGATACATAACTGATATAAGTCGAAATTATATGACCTGCAACTAATGCACACGTGTAGAAGCATGTCGTCATAGGAAAATACACTTGGTTATGTATAAAGCTGTAGTTGTGCTGACAAGAATAAATAGCGCCGAACTATACAAATCGAAGTATGTGAATGCCACGTTACTAATTTCAAATTACACACAAATGATTCTTTCGACATTTCTCTGATGTGTGTCGGAATATACCTGTAGACTGATGAAAAGACTTGATAGCTGGAAGTTCCGTCGTTCGAATCTCATTCGGGAGACATCCGACACAGATGTTTTTCCTTCATACCCTCATCCCCAAGATCCAATTACTAATCATATGCTACAGCTGTTTCCTTCCATAATTTAAAAACTTATCCAGAATCATTCCATATAATTCAATGCAATATAAAAAATATAGGTAGTTAAAATGTGGCTTTGCATAACTAAAGAATGCATGAAATCTCCTCTGAAATGTATACAAATAAACAAAAATCTGGCTATTATTTGGATACCTTTAATATTTTTAAGTTTTCTTTAAGTAAAATGTTCAGGAAACTTGATCCGTTTCGATTTTCATGTGTAAGGAAGAAAAGTTTTCTGTCTAGACGGACCAGTTAGAAAAAGTTCCCGTTTCAACGCAACAGAATCAATGCAAGTCATGAAATTTCGTTAAAAAGTCAAAGACTCCACCTGCAGATTATATAACAGATAAAAAGCAAACAGAATTACTATTTGGGGCACTCTCCGTCATTTCGAGTTTTCTTTAAATTTATTTCGGGAAACTCAAGCCGTTTCGGTCACAATGTACGAGGAAGGAAGGTTGTGCACTCAGTTGCGCCTGTCTGAAAGAGCTTTGTTTGTTTATAAGACACCGAAAGCAGCTCTAAATGGAGTCAATATTAATGTTAATGCCAAATAAAATCAGGGAGACATTAAGGATAAAAAAATTGATGGTAAGAAATGAGGTTCCAAAGAATTATATTTCAGAAACTCAATATTAAGGATTGTGTCCGTCATAACCATGTTCAGTAGCATATCATCGTCAGAAATATATGAATTTTACTCATTTAGTGATCTTGAAGCTTCCTCGAAATTTATTTGTACATCTTTCCTCTCCAAAATACAGAAGTTCATAAAATGAATCTGTCCATTTGGTCCTTTCATTTTTTTGAATTTATTGGTTTAACTGAATTCGAACTAGAGGCAAAATTACCCTATCAATTTTCGGTGAAATGGGGCTCAACTCCCTAACATTCATTACAGGCTATAAAATCGAATAAGCAAGCCTACGCCTAAAGTCGACTTCGCTCTCAGAAAATACTTCATTCTACTGTGAAATTTATTCAGAATATCTGAAAGATCGTTCAAAATTTCAAAAGCTGTACATAAATCCGTTTAATGGAGATCCTGCATCGCTGTTCACCAATTCTTCCACTACGAGAGAAATGTTACATAGAGATACACTGCAACGAAATATTTACTTAGTTACTTACTCATGGAGTTGAGCCCTTCTTGGGGAGCCGCCAATTCTGCAGCTACTCAAGAATTTCCCAGCATTTTATGGAGCCCGAAGGTTCGTTACTGTGTCCACGAGAGCCCTCCACTGGTCCATATCCTGAGCCAGATCAATCCAATCCATACCATCCTATCCTATCTCTCTATGATCCATTTTAATATTGTCCACCCTCCTACGTCTTGGTCTTTCCGGTGGTCTCTTTCCTTCTGGCTTTCCCACCAATATCCTATGTACATACCTGGTCCTCATTCGTGCTACATGACCTGCCCACCTCATCCTCTTTGACTTGATCACTCTAATTGTACTTGGAGAACAGTACAAATTATGAAGCTCCTCATTATGCAGTTTTCTCAAACCTCCTGTCACTTCATCTCTCTTTGGTCCAAATATTCTCAACACCTTATTCTCAAACTGCCTCAGTCTATGTTTGCAACGAAATATTATGATTATGTTCTTATGGGTTAAGATACCGCTCTGTCTTGTAGATTGCCTACCGACGTTTCAGAGGAACCTATTCTCCCAATTTTTAGGTAATAATACAGATTGTCCCTCTATAGTGAAGATGAAAGAAGCGGGTGCATTTACTAATGTTGGTAACGATCTACAAGACTAAACGGCAGCAAACAGCAGGTTTGTATAGTGGTAACGCTTTAGAAGTGCATCTGAGCGATGCTCAGAAACGACTATGGCTGTCCTAATTGATATTTTTCTTGTTATTTTTTATCCAGTCAAATTCCATGATTGCACCCCGATTAGGCCACCACTACTTCCTTCCAAAACATTTCAAATTCATTATTCACCTCTCGTTCCAATATTGGACACTATACCGTAGAAGATAAGAACAGCTTCGTAAAATGTACCTCAAAAGTGCAGAGTCACGTCTCAGGGGACATTCATCTTCATAATCAACTAAATCATAACCTCACAATTCACACGTAAATATAGGGGTTGCAATTTGAACTGCTATGCAAGATATAAATCCGTGGGTATGGATATTTCATTTTACTTCATTGAGCTTACTACTGTTGTGGCTGACACTATCTGTCTAAGGCTCTGTACAGTTCTTTGTTGGATCTTGTCCGCTTTTTCACTTTCCTAATCTTCTACACAGTCTCTATGTCGCATTGGATGGGGGATCAGTCCAACGCACGGCCGCTACCTGCACACAGGAAAGCACAAACACAGAATAAACGCACACAGAGATCCATGTCTGAAGTAGGATTCGAACTCACAATCCCAGTGTTTGAGCGGGCAAATAAAGTTAGACCGCGCGGCCACTGTGACGGGCGGTGGTTGACACCGTTTAATGTTTGGGAGGTTCTTTCTTGACATGGCGACACAGTGACTTTATGCGTTTTCTTTTGTTTTATACCAGTCCATCTATACAATGTAGTTGCAGAAAATTGGGACAAGATGGCTTCTTTCCCCATTTTATAATTCGTCGGTATGTACTTATATGCCTACAGTTGACAAACAGCCGGTATATATCCCTAGAAACTTTAATATTTTCCATCAATACGAACATATTCAGTATCAAGAATGCTCAGGTTACATATTTTGGTACTGTATCTTCTGAAATGCAGCCATGATATAAGTTTCATATTCCGAGAACATGTTATAAAATCTTATCCTAATCATTAACTTTAAAACTATCATATGTGAACATACCTTAGATTCAAATGTTCTTGAGGAGCTAACAGGATGGCGATCTGATGACTCAGTCCATGTCATCGTTGGGCATTTTTATATATATAAGTAGGTTTCAGATTATCTTAAACTGTTCAAGTGCGGCACATGTTGATCGGCGTGACAAGAGTCATAATTTACGAAAATTTAATATTTCACATTACACTCTTAATTGTCTAATCACCAATCACCGTGATCCCGGTAGCTAATTATGCGTCACGATAAGGAGCCCCATACTGCGACAACCTCTCCCCATACGACCAATCTGGGTGGAAGTAGCGCTCCTACTGAGCAGTGATAGCAACGCGAGTCCTCTCACTGCCTCTCACCACGCGGAGTATACAACTGATCCCCGCGTTCTCCGTCGGACCGGCGCGCTTAGGACCACTGCCCACGAAGGCACATTTGTCCAGCCTCTGTTCTTTCGAGATCAGGTACACTGAGATTTATAGCGAAAGCTTTAAATTCGGACAGTTTCTATTTTTCGGTAAAATGTAAGAGGTAATACAACTTGGGAGTTTTCAAGAAAAACAGAAAGTAAGTAGAGTTAGAATTGATGGAAGGGTACAGTCTTCTCGACTGTAGCGCGATGTAATTCAGTTAAGTCCTCCGACGTTTCGGATGAACGTATCATGCCCACATGGATTGTAGAAGAAAAATTCAGACCAATAACAAGCATGAAAAGGGCGCAGGGTTATAACGCAAAAATTGTACTCCTCATAGTCACGACTTCGAGATCATCAAATGTAACTTAGAAATGATTTGCTATATGCAATAAAGGTAAAGTTGTACTTGTGCTTAACTAATTAAGTACTACGCCATGATGGCTTACGGAGAAGTGAATTTATAGGTCCAGGTTTTCTTGACCTCGGCACTAGTGGGAAGTGAGCGGCGAGTTTCACGCTCCTGCTGTTATACCCCCGGGAAAAGTGTCCCCGGTACATATTGGATAGGAGACTGGGTGGGCCCCAGAGCCGGTCTGAACGAGATGGAGAAGAGAAAATGACCCCACCGGGACTCGAACTCCCACCCCTCGGTCGTCCAGCCCGCAGCTAATCGTTATACCGACTACGCTATCCCGACTCATCTCTATATCTATACTTGGTCACGTGTCCGGGGTTCCATGACCAATCACAGTGGATTTTGGATTTGATGGTTAGTTTTATTGGACGTTGCTCTCACAGTTACTCTGTTGTAACAGTTCACACATTCAGCTCCTGGATACTCCCTCACGGTTGTCTGCTTTTTGTACTTCTGGGCTTCTGTATTTCACTCGTATTCTGTTCTTCGTCTTCCGTGTCTCTCGCTTCTTGCTTCTGGCTTCTGAACTGGTCTCCATTTATATCTGCTAGGCGGCGGTAGCATAGTTGGTTGAGGAGCTATGCTACAAGTCGGAAGGTCGCGGGTTCAAATCCCGATGAGATTATTGGATTTTTTTCAATAGACCTAATCCTTCCCGCCACACTATGGCCCTGGGGTCGACTCAGTCTCAAACGGAAATGTATACCAGGAATTAATTAAATAATTTTCCTGGGGAGTAAAGCGCGACCGGCGCTTAAGACTGATAACCTTACCGCCGATTGTCTAGAAAATGTGTGACCCTCAACATCTCACAAACCTATGGGCCTCTACGGCCTGTTACAGGGATAGCTTTAATTTTTTTTTCTACTTTTTAGGCCGCTGGGCTAGCAAGCACCTCCTTGAACAGTTTTGGTTTTCTTTTCTGTGGTAATGGTCTATTTATGTACGCGCTGTCGCGTGAACGTGTTCACAATTGTCACCCAGACAACGATGTATTCACTGTTCTTATTGAAGCAGACAGGTGACTACCGAGCCGTTGTCTAACAATGGATGCCCGCTCTGACTCTGATATTCTGGCTTTTAACCGGCACGTCATATTATACATATATGTATATAGCTATCTACATACTTCAAACAGCAGGCACTAAATTAATTCTCTCAATCTGCTGAACTTTACAAAGATTTGACTTCATGAAGATGCAAATCAATTCTCCTTGTACTTTTCTTCGCAAATGATCCTTTGGAAGTCAGAAGAAAAAAAGTAAATTGAAAATAGACCCTAAGGAAATACGATTTCGTATTTTTTTTTCATTGGCGTTACAGCCCTCATTTCGGCCTAGGCCTACCTCCATGAAATCCTCCGTTTCACTTCGGTTTTACTTGATCTGAGACATACGGTAGGACTCCTTGGGCGGGTGATCAGCTCGTCGCAAGGCCTCTACCCGTACACAAACACAGAAAAACGCACACAAACATCCATGCCCTGAGTGGGTGTCAAACCCATGATCCCGGCTTCCGAGCGAGTGAAGACAGTGCATTCCCGATTTCGTAATTAGCCCTCGATTTAGCTGTCTCAGAATCCACGAGATTTGATGTTGACAACGTTATATTTTCGAGTTCTGATACAACAGTTATAGAGAGTGAGTTAATTATTCTGCTAGAGAGGTTTAATTATTTTCATATTTAATTAATTTTCGTCTTATTTAATTAATTTACTGGTTCACTGGTTTGTCAATCGTTTAATTGGAATTTACTAATTTGTCCTTCCCTGCTATAATCTGGATAGTGTCCTTGCATTATTTAAGTTCTGTTGAATATTTATTCCACTTTTGTTTAGTTACGTCTTTTGTTAGATATACAGGTACACTTATTGTTTTAGGTAAGAAAAAAACACGTAAATTGCGTTTATAAATCCGTCTCTTTGATAAATAAATTCTTCTTCTTCTTTTCTGTCTATGTCTTCGGCCTTGTTACAAATTCAGTATTAACTTCTGGAAGTACGAATATTTAAGACATCTGGTAGCGCTTCTCGAATGGGGGATTGGCACATCGCAAACCCTATAACCTTATACATACATAGGATATTAAAGAGGAAGAAGAGAAAACAATAATAATTATTATTCACTGTCTTTCTTAGGCACGCAATGCTTTTGGCAGTAAGAAGACTGTGTTCCCAAGTTCGAATCCCATGGGAATAGGAGTTTTCTCTTCTTCTTCTTCTCTTCTTCTTTCAAGAAAATTATAATTTTCTTGAAACGAAATGTTTAGCTCCCGATAATAGACCTACGTATGTTTTACATCGGTTGCGCTGGAATTACAAAATGTGGACCTCGGCACTGCTCAGTTCCCAGCAACGTGGTGTGTGTCCGTTTGTTTGAACAGTTCCCTCGTCTGTAACAGATACTTGCGGCTTGTGTATTTGCACAACTTATATCCGTGTGTTTACTCAATAAATGGGACACCACACTGTACATGATAGGCTGTAGGTTCACTATTGCTCCCTTGTATTTAATTAAGCGCAATCACTGCCTTGCAAGATCTTAGGAGAACAGTTGCCGCTAATTGAGGTATGGGTTCAATGCCAGAGAAGTCCATATGGAATTTCTGGCGGACGAATTGGCACTGGCGGCAGGTTTCTGCTCGATCACTTCGATTTTCCTCCGCTAATCATGAATTCACCAATATGCTAACCTAATCTATGATCATAGGCCAACATCCTAGACCTATTTGAAGCTGAAGCACCAAAGGCACTATCGTGTCACAATCCTAAAATCTATAAATTTCAGTGAAGCAAAGGGACAGCCATTGCTACCAAAATGATTTGTCTCATCCTCTGGCAATCATTTCTGCAGAAGAAATATTATTCTAAAGTTTGATTTTAGAGCACTTTACATGAACATACACAAACATAATACAAAGAAATTTGAACCTGGTTCATGTGTAGCAGCAAAACCATCTACCAGGTTACACCGTGTAACCTGGTAGATGGTTTTGCTGCTACACATGAACCAGGTTCAGAAAAAAATTAAGATTATTATAATAATCTTAATTTTTGCTACCGCGAAAACTTTAAATATCACGTAAGTAAGACATTCACGCTATTGATGATAAGAACTGACATCCTATATATGCTACGTTGAAAGCAACAAAATTCGTAAGATTTTTTTACAAAAAATATTTAGTAATATTAAAGGAATATACTGTTATGTGTATCATATACTAGAGACGGGGTTCGGATTGCTAATTGGATTTATTAACCACTTATAGATCGTAACTAAAAATAATTATTATACTATTGCTGATTTACACAATTTACAATCACTCCACACTAATCTTCTTAGCCTATTTCCACTAGTCTTCATTATCCTTTCTCTGGTAACGGATTTATAACATAGGAACTGTAAAAATCTCGCTAAATTACACAGTCCCAAAATCGATGTACTACAGCACATGTAACGTCACAGACTATGTCTTCTAATTCTTCTTCTGGCCACAATGCTTTTCCATTGGAGCTCAAGTCCAGTCAATTTCCATTCCCACATTTTCTCTCGGCACGGACCACGCACAGAAAACACAGCCCTCTATTGCTGCATGGTGCAGACCACACAGAAAATACGTTTCACATGTCAGACTGCGAGTTCACTGGTCCGTCGGCGGCGCTGGAAGTGGCGCGGACGACATAGAAAACGCAGCCTCATCTAATGTATCGTGTTGGACCGTGTTTACAGAGCTGTTGCCTGGAAACGAGTTGATCGAATCCGTTATAATATTTAATACTTAAATAATGAGTTACAGAAACCCCAATTTTTCGGTTATACACCCATGTAATGTAGACGAAGTGTTAAAATATGGTCTTCAATGTTGAATTCATGATTGTTGTCTCTGATAATTCGTAATTTCATGGATGCTCTAAGTACGCTATAGTCCCATGCAGTACCAGCCCTGAACAACTTTCCAATAAAGTACGCACAACTCAGTTGTTGCACCACGTATTGTCTGGCTAGTGTTGGTATTTAATATAAATTTAGTTTTTGCATCTTCTATAGCAATTTTATTAAATTCTTATGTTTTTCACTCAACTTTGTATACCTACAATTCATTCAATAATATTCAATATCAGAACAATTCAAAATACAAGTGTCAAAAGGTCTTCTAAACAATAATTTTTCATAAAATAACGATAGCTGACGACAGAGAGACTACTGTTAGCAAATGCGCCTATGGCAGAATTGTTACTGCCTGCAAACAATGCTTGCTGCGTCTGTTGGAGCAGTGCGTTTCTTTATTTTCAGGGAGCACCAAAATGATCTTATTGTAGCTGTAGAGTACGGGCTCAGACTGAAACGCTTCTAATTCACATTTGGAAGTATCTGTTGCAGAACTCAGCCGGAACACCGACTAACCTGAGATCTTTCGTGGTTTTCCTCAAAACTTTAAGATGAACGCCTAAAATAGGCCAGAACTACTTCCGTTCCACTTCTCCATTTCATCAATCATTTAATGCATTTC